TTTAGTAACAATAATTTTATAATGAATCCGATGACTTATCGAGTCAAACTTCTATCAAAGATTATTTTTACCTACTATCATTCATTTCAAATTTAATTAATATTAATCACTGATTATTACAGAATTTTTAGGTGAGTCCTACGCATATGTATAGTGGTGATTAACGTTGGAAAAATAATGAACAAAATAATAATATATTATATCTCTATTGATTACTTTTATATATATATATATATATATATATATGCAAATGTTAATTGAAAATTGAGTGAATTTATTACAATTTCAAAGTTGATTTTCAAATTCAAAACTATATGGTATATAATTTCTACAGCATATGATTAAAAACTCTTAATCGACACTTCATTTCCCTTCTACGTATTAAATTTAGTACTTATTAGGCAACGTTCACTTTTCTCTTCCTCCTAACTAAAAATTGTTCAAAAAAAAAATCATAACTATTTCAAAGATTAAACAAAATCATTTTTTTTTCAAAAACATGTAGTTTTTTCTTCTATAAGTTTCATTTGAACATTTAAATATCCTCTTCATTTCATTTAATTGAATTTTATTTTGTATTTTTTTCGTAATTCATTTAATTTAAATTCATTGTGTTATTTATTCAACAAAAAACTATAAAGTATTTTACATCATTCAGTTACGGATCCAGAAAAATTTTATAGGTTGGGCCAATACAAATATAATAAAAATTTTATCTAAAAAATTCATATATATACTTTAATCATCTACCGTTAAAAAAATAATAATGATGTTAACATGACATTATCTTTTGATGATACATCAACATCACCGCTAATTTTTTTAAAGACAATAGACCAAAACATAATCAAAATGTAACATTAAATGTTATTCAAAATAAATAATAGTTTAGTGACTAAAATAGAAACTAAATAATAAATAGGTGACTTAATAAGAAATTTACCCTTTTTGAGCATAGAGGGGACGTGGCCTAGGTAGGTCTAAGCCCTCTGTATATTTATCTAAATAAATAAAATTAATCCATGTATAAACAGACCTAGATACGCTCTCGGTATATTTATCTAAATAAATAAAATTAATCCATGTATAAACAAGTAGTCAAAAATTCACAAAAACGTAACTAAAATTCAAATTTTCATAAGTATTTATTTTATTAAATGTATTTACCTTAAAATTTTATTTGTGTCAACATCATAATTTTTTTACGTTAATATAATATGTTCTCACATTTAAAAATATTTTTAAATTTGTCACTGTACTCAAGTAAAAAACTATTTTTTTTTATCATTTGATGGTCGTGTTAGTTTATATATCTTTAAATAGGAGGTAGGAACTACGTAAATTATGTAAAACTTATTAAATTTCTAAAAAAGTTAATCATCGGATGAGTTGAAATGGGTGTTTGAGATTAAAATATCTTTTTGTGAAAGTTAAAAAGAAGAAGAACAATACCAATGCACAAATTTTTAATGTCATGCATCCATATAAATCCATCCATATAATGCTAAAAAACATTAATTTTACACACAGTTCCTAATATATATATATAATCTCACAATTATTTTTAAAAATACTAAATGGGGGAACTAAACAATGGTTGAATTAAAAGTCCATTGGTCATAATATATTTGTACATATGTAACATTAGAAATGGACATCATGCATCATCACTCATCCTTTTATACATATTCAATAATATTGCAACCACCCCCTTTCCATTCTTTTTGTTTTTTGTGTTTTTTGATGGTTAAGTCACAACAACTCACAACTGCAACACCCACAAGCTACTAGTAACTTGTTTGATACACAAAGGGAAAGAAAGGGGTGGGAAAAAACTATTATTTGACTTGATTTTCAAGCCAATATTATGACCCTTTGATTATGATGAATAACATTAGTTACCACCATTGATTATACATACCCTAACTACCACAATTAATATGTAATCATGGTTTCCATGGTGAGAAGAATTAATGTATTCTTTCCTTTGAAGACATGGGGAGGCTGTTTACTTCAAATGATGACTTTGTAGACCACTATTTAACCATCACCATGGATCTATTTGTTTATGGTTGAAGTCATTTCAATTTAGGATGTCATTAACTCCATAGACCAATTGGAGTGATATTTACATATGACTTGTTTAATAGTAAGTTCAGGTCGAAATCATATTATATTTTCACTATGTCGAACCGGAATCAAATTAAGTTTAATTATATTAACATTAAAGTCGAGTCAAAATCAGATATTAACTCTTAAATTTTGAATCGGGATCAAAATTACTTAAAATTCGTTGTAGTCGAAGACATAAGTTTACGAAAAGCGGGAGAGGTTCTTTCTCCTCCAATAATTTTTATATATTTTCTATTAAAAATATATTTTTCATGTTAAAATTTTAGAGATCCGTCATTTAACATAAAATCATACATTTGTAGTTGGACACGCTATGCATTTTTTTTGCCCCGTGATCTTCTAAACCTAGAAACAACAATATTCAGAATCCTCATTAATCATCGAATAATCATTTTATAATATCTCATTTGAATAAAATTATTTTCATATGATAAAACGAATGAGACTACATATAATTATATAAAAGTATATAATTTAAATATTTATTTAAATAATAAAATAATTTATCTATTTCCCCGGCAAAATATTTTGATTCCCTTTTGGTTTTTGTTATGTTTTGTGTTGAGAAACAACAATAATTATATAATAATTAATTTAGCAACGGATGCTCGTTCAACATTAATATACTAATAATGCTAACAAACAATATTTGTTGCATTGAAAATACGTATGTCGTTGGCAAGTCAATTTTATCAAATTATTTTTTTGAAATAAACACAAACAAAATTGTTAAAAAAATATTATTTATTTAATTAATAATATACATTGGGTTAAACTTTATTAGAATTTCCCATATTGATTTAAAAGTTTGATTTAATTCATCTAAGAACAGGTTTGTTTTGGTATATCTACCATAGAAATAAAATTTTAATCTCTGTAGGTTTGAAAAGTTAGTATCCTGTCTAAAATTTTAAAGTTATAGTTAGTTAGCTAAATATTTTGGTTTAAATATAGCTAAGATAGTAGGTTGCCCTCAATGTCAGGTTGAAAGCAGTTTTCGTGGAAGACCTCCAAATTATAAAATGCCCTCCGTGGAACTCGATCCCACGACCTCAAGACTAAAAACCTTGTGCTTTACCAAATAAGCTGGATGGTTCGAGACTTTGAGAAAGAATAACAAGTTCCTTAAATACTAACTTTTTATGTCAGTACATGAGACACAGTGGAGGAACCACGTTCTTAGATACTTTTAAAAATTTAAGTCCTTGAAAGTTTTGAAACTATTAAAAATAAGTCCTAACCTCTCCCAAAATTTTATAGTTTAAATACTTTTTAAGGGATCATCAGCTTTAAAGCTCTTATTTTTTTTGGTTTAATTGTTTTTTTAGTACATGGCAATTTTAAAATTAGTGAAACTAAGTCCTAATCTTTTATTTTTTGTGGTTTAATTATCTTTTATAACTTTGTTAATTTTAAAGATAAGCAACTTGGCCCCACCCATAATTTCGGACTAGTTTCGTCCTCCATGAGACATGTCCAATTATGGTTGAATATTTTGTAGGGTAAATTACATAGTTTCTTACTTAATTATACTCTTTTTCCTATTTTGCTCACTATACTTTCAATTTTTCTAATTTACTCATTGAAATTTCAAATTTCTCCTATTATGTCCACTTAAAATTATTTTATCATTATTTCAATATGATATATATTATTATTATTTAATATAAAATAATTAAAAATAAAAAATAAAAAAGAAGGTGGTCGAACGCCACCGTCGACCACAATCAATCATTGTAGATGGTGGTCGTTCTGTCCCAAATTTCATGGGTCAATTCGTCTCAATCTCTTAAGTTTGAATTTGGTGGTTGTTTCACCAAAAATATCCCAAAACATGTGAATCTCGACTGAAATGTTTCAGTTTCCTCATTTTTATATCTAATTCATGGACTTTAGATCAAGTTCTGACAAAAATAGATGTCATATTCAAACTTACGGTGTCAAGGAGAAGAAACCCGTGAAATTTGAGATCAAACGACCACCATCTATGGCGGTAGATGGCGACCAACGGTGGTGTTAGGTCACCTTCCGTTTTTATTTTATATTACATAATAATAAAAAAATGTCACGAAATACAAAAATAATAATAAAATAATTTGGAGTGATCAAAATAGAAACAATTTGAAAGTTCAGTAAGTAAATTATAACAATTGAACGTAAAGTGAGCAAAATACAGAGATATTTTAGTTCAATGAAGAATGGTGTAATTTACCCTAATTTTTAAATTAAATATAAAAGTTATAATATTTTTCAAAAAATTGAAGATTTTAATGAAATTTTAAATATTTTTAATGATTTTAACATCATTTGTTTTAATCAAACCCTTACACTTACTCCAAATCTAAAAATTCTAAATAATAATAATATATATTTTTCAATTAATATTTTAAATGTTTTTTATATTTGGACTTGTAATGATAGTATTATTGTAAATAAAAATAATAGATTTTAAAGTTAGAATGTGAATTAATGCATTTAATTTTTATAAATATTTAAAATTTATATGTAAAAATTCAAAAAAAAAAGAATGTTGGAGAAATTAATTTGTTTTAGTTTAAAATTAAGAGAGACCTAAAGAATATTTAAACTAAAATATTTAAATCAACTAATAATAACTTTAAGATTTCAGACCAAAATGTGAACTTTTCAAACGTTTATGGACTAAAATGTATATTTTAAGACTTCAATCGTATATATTTGTATAAGTATAGTAAATAATTAGGGACGAGAATGGTCTTAAAAATGTGTTGTCAGGGCATGAATGATGATTGGGTAGCATATTAGTTGATAACTAGACCTGTGAGTAAAATTATATAATAAGAGAAGTTCCCAGCCACCCACCCCCCAACTCCAAATACAAACACAATGCCTTCCCTTTCTTCTTAGTCTCATCTCTTTGACAAATTCTTCAGAGTAGTAATGGAATCCAAAGAAAACATTTATGGTCTTGTTTTTCTTCTTCATACCAAACAATAATATATAAAGAAGAAGAACAAGAAACCGAGCCGATTGGTTTAGTAGCTTCGTGTGTTATAATGGCGAAATCAAAGACATGCAACGCCAAGAAGCAGTCGTACATCTCCGTCACCGCTCTTTCGTCCTCTTCTCTTCAATCTCTGCTCGTTCCGCCGAAGAAAATGATAACAAAGCCGAGAACCGGCTTCTTTCTCGGCCACCGATGCAGGCGGCCGGGCGTTTGGTTGTTATCTCTCTTCAGCTTTGCCCTCGTTAGCTTGTTGAGGCTGGGGTGGAATGTCAACACCCTCGTCCCTTTCTCTCCTTATCCGTGTCTCCAAACTCTATTGATTCCGCATCTCACCGGCGAAGTCGGCTTCTCGAACGCCACTCAACGTCGTCTCGCCTCATTGGAAAGCGAGTTTTGGAAGCAGCCGGACGGAATGGGATACCGGCCGTGTTTGGAGTTCAGCGACGAGTATGAAAGAACAAGTAATGTTATTATGAATGACAGAAGAAAGTATTTGCTGGTGGTGGTTTCGGGTGGCATGAACCAGCAAAGGAATCAGATTGTGGATGCCGTTGTCATTGCTAGGATCCTTGGAGCTGCCTTAGTTGTTCCCATTTTGCAAGTCAATCTCATCTGGGGTGATGAGAGGTAACAATTAGCAAACCGTGTGTGTGTATATGTATGTATGTATCGAGTCGGTTTCGGTTCAATTAACCTACTATCCATATGATGCACCTGTGGTTGCAGTGAATTTTCTGATATATTCGATTTCGGTCATTTCAAGCGAGTTCTCGCCGATGATGTGCTGATACTATCGTCGTTGCCTTCGACGCATATAAAGACGAGGCCTGTAGAGGAGAAATTGGCTCCGCTTCATGTCTCCCCTCAATGGATTCGTGCAAGTTATCTCAAAAAGATAAAGAAGGGAGGAGTTTTGCTGTTACGAGGTCTGGATTCGAGGCTCTCTAAGGATCTTCCTCCTGATCTTCAAAAGCTTCGCTGCAAGGTGCTTGAAACCTCACTTCTGTTGAGGTTTTGGAGAATTTTTACATGTTCTAATATGTTGATTATTGAATCTCAGGTGGCATTTGAAGCATTAAGATTCGCTCCGCCGATACTCGAGCTTGGTAACAAGTTCGCTTGGAGAATGCAGAGTAAGGGACCATACCTTGCTCTTCATCTTCGAATCGAGAAGGATGTATGGGTGAGGACCGGTTGTCTTCCGGGCTTGAGTAAGGAATTTGATGAGAAAATCCACAATGAACGGAGAAGACACCCCGAGCTTCTTACTGCGAGATCGAACATGACTTACCACGAGCGAAAGCTTGCCGGACTCTGCCCCTTGAATGCTTTCGAAGTGACTAGGTACGACTTATACCGCAGGCAAGCTAGTTCCTTTGTTTTTTTTAACAATGCTCATGTATATCGACCGGTCACATTGTGTGCTTTATAGGCTGCTTAAAGCATTGGGGGCTCCGATGAGTACGGGAATATACTGGGCCGGAGGGGAACCTCTTGGCGGGAAAGAAGCCTTGTCACCATTAACAAGAGAATTTCCTCATTTCTATAACAAAGAAGATCTTGCCTTACCTGGTGAACTAGAACCATTTGCTCATAAGGCTTCTTCCATGGCCGCCATCGACTATATAGTTTCCGCGGAAAGCAACGTTTTCATGCCCTCCCACGGCGGGAACATGGGTCACGCGATCCAGGGACATAGAGCATTTGCAGGGCATAAGAAGTACATAACACCAAACAAAAGACACCTGCTGCCATATTTTCTGAACTCTTCTCTCCCGGAAGCAGAGTTCAATAGGATCATAAGAGAACTGCACCGAGAATCTCTCGGACAACCGGAGCTCCGGGGTAGCAAAGGCGGAAGGGATGTGACCAAGTACCCGGTTCCGGAATGCATGTGCAAAAGCAAGGCTTCCCACGTGATGACATGAAACATTGATGGTCACATTGCTTCGACTGAGAACCGAGACCCTCTTTTGGAAACTTGGTCATGATGGATCATGATGATTCTTTTAATCTGGAGCAGCAGCAGAGCATTAATTCAAGAGCGATCTGCATACTCATTGTTTGTGGTTGCGTGGTACACAAGGCAGGGTAGATATGAGGATAAATCCTTTTTTTCTTATTCATTTTGGGGAAAATTCTTTTATTTTCTTTCTTTTATATACACATATGAAATTCAGCTTATTCTATGTATATAATGTATCACATTGGATTTTCATATTATTATAATAATAACATCAATTAAATTAAAATTTCTGTTAAAACAAATAATAGATAGTAAAGAAATCAAAATCTTTTACTAATTTTATGTTATGTTTGAATAAATAATAATAAATGAAAAGAAAGAGGAGAGGGAAGTAATAGGAGAATAGTGAAAATAAGAAGGAAAGAATATATATTTATTTTGTTTGGATAGTTAATAATTGTAAGACAATAATACATTTGTAAAGTCGAGAATTGAGAATTTGATTTAAATAAAATTTTAATTTAATTTTCCCCTATGTTTGAATTTGAATATGGGAGGGGAAAATAAAGGAAATAAAAATCTTTTCATTGTGTAATTTAATTTTACCCTATGTTTGAATTTGAATATGGGAGGGAAAAAAAAATAAGGTGTCAATATGTGTTATCTATTTTCACTCATCCAACTGTCTTAAATCTGTGTAAAATTAAAAAGTTTTACATTTTGTAAGTGGATCTTAACTCATATATATATATAAGCCTGTTCATTCTGTTAATTCGACCACTGACCAAACCAAAATTTCATTAATCGATCTTTTAAATAGCTAATTGAATTATTATTTTTTGAAAATATTAACCAAATTTATATATATATATATAATTATATTAACTTAAATTTGATAGAAGTGTTTTTATTTGTGTTCAAATTTAATAAGGTCTTAATAATTTAATGGGTCTAGTGTGGTTAAAAATTAATAGTGTCTTAATTCTTAATAGATTTGAGCTTAAAATATGTATTTAATATATATAATATATATAATATTTTTAGTTAATTTAGTTAATCAACCGATTTTGATTTAAATTAACCGTTAATCAAATACTGAAAAAAATTAATTGTTTCTCGTCCAAATTAATTCAATGACCAATTGTTTTAATCTAACTAATTCAGTTCGGTAGATTAATTATTAAAACCAATATATACATATATATATATATATATATATATATATATATATATATATATATTTGACAAGCGTCATAATTTTCAAATAAAAAAAATTCTTAGATAAATAAGCTATAAACGTAGTATAGAGAAGAAAGGGTCGATCCACAAAGGGTTAGAAATTTTCAATTTTGGTTTGAATTGATCTTTAACCAAGAAAAATGTAAGAGAAAAATAAAAAGGGTTTGACAAAATAAATTAAATAAATTTAAAATAATAAAAACAAGAAAAGTAAATAATTGAAAAAATTATGATGAAAGATATTCTTTAGCTTCGCTTTGCCTCAATTCGTCTCGATCACTGAAATAGATTTTACTTCGAATACATGTTGGTTACAGTCTACAAGATACAACTCTTGTAACTTACTATTCTCTCTGGTAAATTAATTTTCCAAAGTCAATCCTTGGGATTTAGCCCTTATTTGGATTAACATGCACAATCGATGTTAACCCCAATGTTGTGTTTTAGTATTGAATAATCTCATGCTTGGATTATGGTGTCTCGATAAAAATCAAACATGATCTTGATTTCCTTTAGTGGACCACCGCTAAGCATGTTCTTAGGGAATTAAATTTGCTACAAGTCGACTATTCTTTCCAACGGTAGATCACAGTGTCAATCAATCCAATGTGCACTCTTTAGATTGAAGGTGTCGAGATACTTGAAGAAAGAAATCCGAGGGTATTTATAGCTTGAGATAACTTGAAGGAAATAAAATACCTAAAGATAATTCTAAACGTATTCAATTACTTAAATCCTAAATAATAGCAAACTAGAATCTTAAATAATAGTGAAATAATTAAATAATAAATCTCAAATATCTAAATTCGATTACAATTCCTAAATGATAAAGAGTTTTCATCCGTCCAACCTTCTCCTTGATTCCAGAAAAAAAAACTATATAACTCGCTCTTTAAATATTGTTTTCTAGAAAATAGAGTCCTGCACAAAATCGAACATAAATAATTCAAATTAGCAATATCAAAGAGATAACAAGGAATACTTAGCAACAAAATAATAATAAAATAAAACACTCGTCAATATTCTTCATAGTTATATCCACACTCGATTAGCAATTAATGTAGGGTTACACACATTATAGATAGATTTATAGTTTTTTTTAATTTGCAAATAAGATCGAATTATATTAAATATATTTTTATGTTGTCTTGTATATGAATCCAGAGTTTTTTTTTATAAAAAAATTGCTTCTTGAAAGAAATAAAAGAATAACAAGTAGAAAGGAACGCAAGAAACGAAAAATGATAAATTTATTTATAAGATCATACTATTTTTATTTAATTCGTAGTGAGTGCTAACATTGTTCATCTTGATTGGTTAAACGTCGTTAAAAAAGGAGATGATTTGGAAAACGTTTTAAAATTAAAACTTTATTAAAAGACTTTACTGGACAATTGGATAAAACATAACTTGCTCCCCAAGTTATGAACCATATTCAGGGTTTAGCCAAGATTAATCTGTCATTCCTTTTCCTATAAATAAAATTAAGTTTTATTTTGCTTGGGTTGTTACAGACGAAGAGGAGTAGATTTCAAGGTCGCAAATGGTTGGGTCTAATGGCGTTAGGCTTATTCACTGCTTCCTTCGCCGCTCTCACTCCCTCTTCCACCACCCAAATTCTGTACGTTCTCTTTTTTTTTCTATTCTAATTTTATCTATTCTTGCTACTCCTTTTGCGTGATCATGTAATTAAAGTTTGGCTTTTCCATTAATAATATGTTCATCGACTGTGAATACAGAAGACTCTTGTAGACATCAATTTTTTTTATTTAAAATTATTATTATTAAAATTATTATTATTAGTATTATTATTAGTATTAGTATTATTATTATAATAATAATAATAATTATTATTATTATTATTATTATTAATATTATATATTATTATTATTTAATAAATAATTACAAAACTGGAAGCCCATTTACAAGCCCAAATACCAGGCCCAACCAGAACCGACCCATACCCAAATGGAAACCCTAAACTGATTTAGGGTTTCAGCTAGGGTTTTCAAACCCTAGCCCCCAGCCGCCGTCAACATCATCAGCCGTTGGATCTGGCAAGATCCAACGGCCCAAAAGAGTTCCAGATGGGAAACCCTAGGGTTTCTAACCCTAGCAGCCAGCCGTTTCTAGATGCTTCCAGCCGCCTCCGATGAGTCCAGGTGGTCCAACAGCTGCTGCCGACACTCCAGAACGTCACGAAGCTACCCACGTTGAGCCCTATGGTGAGTCACCACCATAGCTATGGTGACTCACCGGGCCTTTCATCTCTGGAACCGGTCCAACGAGAGCCTCGGTGGTGGCTATAAAAGCCACCCCACCTGCAAGAAAGAGAACAGACAGCCACAGACGGCAGAGAACAACAAAAAACAGAACAGAAAAAAAAAGAAAAAAAGATAGAGAAAGAGAACACAGCAACCAACAAAGCAAGAACTACACCAACGATCCCAGAAAATACAAATCAAAAGAAGAGAAAAAGAGACTTACCGAGGAAATCGCCGTCGTGATAGCCTCCACAAGTCATCACAGAACCGAAACGTCGAAGAGAAATATCCTAGATCTACGACGATTGGTAAGGTTTTAAGCTAAAATAACCTTAGATCTAGATATAGAAAAATAGGGGCTTTGATTTGGGTGGGTTTTGTAATTTCCGGCCACGGCGGCAATCGGAGCCCGACAGCGGTGGCTGACCGGGACGGCTTCTCTCTAATTTTAGAGAGAAGCCAGAGAGAAATCTTCTCTCTGTTTGAGAGAAGAAGATAAAATGAAGAAATGAATGGTTGGCCCGAAGGGCCAGCCGGTTTAGGGTTTATAAACCCTCATCCATGCGACGTCGTTTAAGGGGGAGGAGTATCTGTGTAATTTAAGAAAGGGTAAACCCTTTCCGCAGTCCATCAGTTTTGTAACTTTGCAATTTAGTCACTGAAATTGATTTTTAATCATTTTAATTTAGTGTTTAAATTTTATTTTATTATATTTTAACCATTAACTGTATTTATATATATTTAGGAAAATATCAAATTTAGTCCCTCATAATTTATTAATTATTATTTTAATCACGTATTAATTAATTAGGTTAAATTACACTATTAATCATTATCTTTCATAATATTTCGAATTATTATCTTTATTTTTAATACTTTATATTTAGTTTATAATTTTTGAATTTCTTTTATTTTGATCATTATTTAATTACAATATTATTTTGTTATTACTTTTATATTTTAATTATTGCTTTAATTATTATTATTATCTTAGTCATATAAATATATATATATTTTTTAAATAATAATGTTTATTTATTTTCGATATCAAAGAAAAGGGCAGTCCTAATATAACTGGATGTCCTATTCTGGTATTTTAAAAAATTAAATATTATAAAAATTATTTAGTTTTATTTAAAATATTAAAATTTTAATATATTTTTATTTATTAATATCAAAGAAGAGAGCTGTCTTAAGATACCTAGAAGCCATTTTCTGATATTTTTGAATAAATAAATATCTTACTATATTAAAATAAATTTTTGTCATAAAAAATGTTTGTCATTTATTTATTTTTTAATATTGAAGAAAAGAGCTGTCTTAAGGCACCTAGAAGTTCTTTTCCGATATTTTTAAATATTTTTTAATTTTGAAATAATATAAATTTAAATTAAATATATTTTGAATTTTTTTTAATTTTTAATAATAGAGACAATTTATAATTAAAAAGTACCAATTTTGGGCGTTGTAGGGGTGCTAATACTTCCCTAAACGTAATCGACCACGAATCCCCTTTTATTATTAAAAAGAACGAATTTTTGGTTAAAACGCAGATCAGTTCATCTTTTAACTGATGTTTTATTAAAAACTCTTTTAAAAGATAATTTTTAGGTAATCGACCTACCTGACCCAAAAGGCCGATAGCGACTCCCAAATTATTTTCAAAACCATTTATTCACATCGATTTTCCCCCCAAAATAAATAATTTCGTGCCCGGACGAAAACCGGTTACGACAGCTTGGCGACTCCGCTGGGGACCGGTCAAACTTTAAAATCAATTATAAATTGTCTCTATTAATTAAAAATTAAAAGTTCATATATTTAAATTTTAATTTTTTTTCTTTTCAAAATTTTTATATTTACTTATTATTTTCATAATATTTATATGTTTCATTTTACTTGTAAGTATTTTATTTCGTTATTTATTTTTCTGTCAAAGGTTTGAACATTTCTCCTCACACACAATACTTGCATTGCATAACATAAAGCTCTATAATTGAGTTTGTCCCTTTTAAGTGGAAGTGAAAGCGACGTCTTCGTGAGAATTTATTCTCCGTGTCAGACCTAGCAAGTAACTTTCGGGGTTCATATGCTCTATGTCTTCGTGAGAATTTATTCTCCGTGTCAGGTATAGAGAAATGTGTCCTCTCGAATTGAACTCGATCTGCTAAAGTCTGTAGTGGACTAGGATTGAGGGTTTGACAGCCCAAGGGGGCATCAACAAGAACAATTCGAGTACCTTTACTCCTAGAACTGAAACTCTGCATATAATAAACCCTAGAAATTCACCTAAACTAAGACAGTACTGAACCTCTGTTCATAGGTGTACACAAAGGAGAAATAAGCTCTAGCTTTTAATTTATTTGATTTATTATTATTTTTTTCTCCCTGAATAAATGTATGCGAACTAGAAATCATGCAGTTAGGTTAAATTTTCCAAACAAAGCATGGAACTAGAAAGCATGAGGTTAAGATTTATACCTTGATAGATAGATTTTTTTCATTAGTTGGTACTAACTAGTTTATTTTTTTCTCATGTTTTTTGTTTGCATTGCATGATCATAAAAAAAAGGTGTTGACTTGAAAGACTGTTCACCATATTGGAAAGAAATCGTAAATGGACAAAAAGTTTTATGATCAAACAAAATATGATGCGGCCAAAGAAAGACATCCTGAGGAAACTCTGAGGATAGAAGCAAGCTATGCACCCAAAGATCATATGACCATTGAAGAGCAAAAAGAGATACGAGAAATAAGAGAGCAGATGACCAAGATGATGGATAGAATATCTGTTTTGGCCAAAGGAAAAGAGATTCCAGCACAGAAAGAGAGAGAGCTCAATAAACCTAACTCTGCAGTTTCAGATATGCAAAGGATTTCGATTCTTAACCAATTTGAGAAATTACAGACAGTCATTATTCGTATTCACAAATTGTCTGGAGATACCAAAGAAATGGTGACGACCGTACAAGCTCCCAGAGAAGAGAAAAAATCATGTAATCAGAAATTATCAAAGTTTGGTCTGCTCCCGATGTCTAAAACTCAGGTTCAATCCAAGATAAAAGGTGGTTCTCATCTTGATACTATCCCCATATCATATAAAGAGTTGTATGAAAAGTTACTTGAAGCACGAGAAGTGGCTCCATATTACATAAAACCGTTCCAACCTCCATATCCGAATTGGTATGACATCAATGTTCATTGTGAATATCATGCCGGAGCTCAAGGACATACCATCGAGAATTGTCTTGCCTTCAAACGTCAAGTCCAAAGTATTTTGGATCATGGAACCTTACAATTTATGGTAAATGATCGACCTAGTTGGGTAACCGAGGGTCCTGATAGATTAATACCAAAAGTCTTCAAATGTAAGAATATCAGTAGGGGCGCCCAGAGAGAAGAAGATTTGCTGAGGTTTGAAGCTCAAATACGTCATTTGAAGGTTGAAAACGATAAATTGAGCACCAAAATGGAAACCATACATGAAGACTTCCAGAAGGTCAGTCAAGCCTTTCAAAATGCTGGTATAGGAAACACCCCAGAAGAGTGGATAGCAGGGGTCACCAAACTGAAAAAGAGTTGCAACCTACATGAAGATCTTGTCAAAAAACTTTTTGAACACAAATGTTCTTTCACAAAGGAAAATGATCAACTCCAAGAATTGACATAGAAGATGAAAGAACACCAGAATGTCATGGAAGAAGCTGCAGTCCAGACAAGCAATATGGCCCATAAGCTGATAAACTAACTTAGTTTTAGAGAAGAAAATGGGAAAGTTATTCCCTATATGTAAAGTTTTGTTGAAGTTAGAACTGAAAGTTGTCCCCTACATATAAAAGTTTTGATTGATGTACTGAAGCTTTTGTGTTCAATGAAATCTGTTCTAAAATGATCACTCTTAAGTAACACCTTTTCATACATGCATTTACATTTTGTATTTTTACTTTTTATATCTTTGAATTGCACATTTGGCATTCTTATTTTTCCATTTATGCATTTTTCACATTTTTATTTAAGTACTGTCATGTACTTTAATTATAAAAACGTGTTAATAATTAATGAAAGGTTTTGTAACAGTAAAACCAAGGTCATTCATTCATATTACTTTACTGTCATCATGAAAACAATGGAGCAATCTTATAAGGGACTACAAGACCAGTGGCCAGAACAATTGACAGGGTTACCTCCGGATATAAGGAAAGAAACATCAGATTCAGTACCAGATGGATCAAATCAAATTATTCAGTATGTGACATCTGATAAAGAAGAGATAATTTATAAAGAGCAACCATGCTGTCAGATTGAAGAGTCAAAAATGGTAAAACCCTCTGGGGCATCCCAATTGAACCCAAAGAATAGCCTTGTTCATTATTCGCAATATGAGGAAATATTCAAGAAGATGGATGAAGCAATCAAAAATATGAAATGTGTTGATACTTCCCACAAAGAATTAGAAGAAAGAGAGCTTAGCTTGGTTCCAGATTTGATTATTCCCCATGAATTCAAAATGCCTGATTTTGAGAAATATGATGGCACCAGTTGTCCCTTAATCCATTTGAGAATGTTTTGTAGAAAAATGGAAGGATATTTGAGTTCTGATGATCTATTAATTCACTCTTTCCATGATAGTCTTGTTGGCCCAACAATAGTCTGGTACAATCAGTTGACCCAAGAACAGATCAAGAGATGGGTAGATTTAGCTGATGCATTTTTGAGACAATATCGGTATGTTAAAGGCTTAGCTCCAACACGTATGGATCTTCGAAGAATAAAGAAGAAAACCAATGAAAGATTTCAAGAATATGCCCTAAGATGGAGAGGAATGGCAGCACAAGTTCAACCTCCATGTTAGAAGAAGAAATATCACGTATGTTCGTGATTCCCTTCCATTACCTTTCTTCGAATTGATGCAGGCAAATCCGACAACTGAATTCGAGAATCTAGTGACAAGTGGAGATTTAATTGAGAATGTAATCAATGAAGAAAACTCAAAAGTCACATCCAAGAGCCCAACGAATCAAAAAGTGAAAGCTGATGATGTGAATGTATGTCGCATCCAGAATCCCCGCAACTGCAAAAGAAAAAGAGCAAGTAATTGTTCGGATCGACCAAAGAAAGTCAAGCGATCAAGAAAAACTTTGGAAGTGTTCCAAACTTCTATTTCAGACTTGTATCCTCATTTGGTTAAAGGCCAATATATCACACCAAGACCAACTAAAGTGACATCAAACCCTTCTGCTCATAGCTATGATCAAAATAGTGTTTGTAATTTCCACTTTAGGGTAAAGGGGCATTCTACAGGCAATTGTAGGCCACTGTTAAAAGAAATTGAGATGCTTGTTGACAAAGGGGTTTTGACACAAAGAAATGATCAAAAAATGGGAGGGCGAATGAAGAAAAGAACCCTGATCCTATTACATACCCAACATTATAGGAATAATGAGGCATGATAAAATAAATAAGTGGAAGTGTTATCTACCACTGTAGTACTTTCTGTTTTCAGCATCTTGTTTGAACTTGTTTTTTTTCCTTCCTCCACCTTTTGTGCAATAAATAAATTTGTGTTGCTTATTAAAGTTATGAGCAAGGAATCAAATTTTAATCTTGAGATTATTGAGTATCAAGTAGATTAAATGTTCTTTTAATTTTTCAATAGTTATAGATCTATTGGCAAGTGGTAAAATTATATCTTTAATATCCCATCCAATGCCAATTACTCAAAACCAAATCCTGACACTACAAAGATTCTGAAGTAATGTCTCCACCTGTTTTTGAGACACCAACTCTAGATGTTTACCTTCTCGAGTAGAGTCGATTGATTGATGATACAACCTTCCACCATATACATGACTTTATAAGTCACACATTTGTCCTTCCAAATACAAAACCATCATAAACCAAAAGACCTCGAAAGAACCAAACTTTCAACTATTCGTGAATTTTACTGCAAGAAGAGACGAGATGAGGCATCATGGACCAACTCATTGATGATAATTTCGAGTGATTAGGGCATACTCAAAGAAGAAGGGGAAAGTGATTGATTGAAATAAATATATCATGCATTAATTACATTTTTTCATGTAAATAAAGTTAATCTTGAATATTCATCCCCCTGTGGATACCTTTTTTTACAAAGGTTTCTGTGTATGAGATGATGAACGACATTGTTTCATTTATCCTTATATATATATATATATATATATATATATAGATATATATATATATATATAATATATATATATATATAGATCCTTTGTTATCCCCATTTGAGCCTGAATAATGTTTCTTCTAATTCAACCCTAACCAAGGATCACCCTCTACATTGGGGGGCAAGGTAAAAGATATTGGCTCACAAGAATAAAGATTGTCAATACAGTTTTATTACGAAGACAAGTTTCCATGAAGTCATGAAAGTTTTGAACTACAAAGTATGTCAAATACAGAGTGCTTGAAGATCAATCCAATCAAGAATAATGGAAAACCTCCAAAATGCAAAAGGAAAAGGAGGTGCTCAAAGCAATTGAAGTATTATACTCATCCAGCAAAGAAAGAAGAAAAAAAAAAGGAAAATTGAATCAAGATGGGTGATTTATTGAGCCTCAAGTTACAAGGTTGATCAAGTACAAACAAGAAGAGCAAGAAATGCTGAAGATATGAGAAATTGGAAATGAATCCAAAATTTGACAGTCTAGAGGGATCCAGATGATGGAAAAATCCCCAACAAAGCAGATCCAAGTGAAGCAAGGCAAGATTGATGGCATAAGAATGAATTGACCCTTGGTTTGATTACCCTTAAACACTTATTTGGGCCTTTTATTCCTTTCTTTCTTAACCATAAGCCATGGCCTACGTTACGTACCTGAAAAGTCCATTCTAATCATACATGGATTTCTAAGTAAAAGATGATATCTTTAGAATTCATTCCGCCTTCCAAGATTGATTTTTATTTGCAAAAATTATTTTTTTTTAAAATCTTTAATGCATGATATGAAAAATGATAAAGGGGGGGTTCAAGATGTAAATTTTTAAATAACATCTTGAAACCAAAGGAGGATTCGAGTTGAAAACCTAAAAAAAGGCGGCTCGAATAATGAATGGTGCAACAATGACATAAGAGACGATCTTAAGCTCTTAATAAAGCACCGCACATCCCAAAGACGTTCCTGAGAATAGGGAAACAAGAAGCATCTCTACAAGATGGGCATAACAACCATTTCTTCAAGTTAGTGGAAGCCCGAAGCGACATACTGAACCAACTTGAAAGAACCTACTTTACCAAAATCAACCTACACCTCAAATCAGTCAATAATTTTGACACTTGCCATAGGACTATGATTTTTGAATGATTTAAAAGTGTAGTTGATTTATTTGATATTTATTAAACTCATTGTTTATGATCTGATTCTATTGTGAACCTAAGAAGGGCAATACTTTGTAAAAGTCTTTCATTCTTCAATAAACAAAGGAGGAAAAAAACATTTTCAAACAGGACAGTCTCAAATGAAGAAGGTCCTTGAAGCAATTGTTGCTTATTTTACCTCTGTAGTAGAAAAAGAATGAACGAGGCCAGAATAATGAATCACTTCACATTTTTTAAGGCAAATGGTCCAAGAAGCCAGAAAGTCTAGATAATTGAACTTGTGACACTCCCCTATGACATTATTATCAACTCATCAAGAAAGATTATCTCATGTTGAGGTCGATAAGCATCACCAGACAAATTACTTTCCCTAGCCATTAATCCATGTTTCTGGCAGATTACATCACAGAGATATAGGTCCCAGTAAGATGTATTATGGGAATGAACAAGTCAATACTTGCACTCTAGTTATACCGTGATGTTGGCTCAA